CTCCGCTCCGGCTGCGCCCACGCCTAGACGAAGGATTGGTGCGCTGTTGACGTTCTGCGCTCCGACTCCTGCTCCGGCGGTGGCGGCTCGCCGGCGAAGACCTGGTAGGCTGGTTCCCCAGGGCTTGCCCTCGCCCGCCATCTCCGGTGCCGCGCCCTCGCGAAGACTGGGTGGAGCGGCGGTGGTCGTCCGTCCCGCTCTTGGCCGTCGAATCTTGGTCACCCCAACGGTTCTTCCAGCTCTTAGACGCAGGAGCCGCCGACCGACTGTAGTCCGTGTTCCCTCCAGAAACATGTGCAGGGCGTGAAGAGGCCTGCCGGGGGGCTTGCAGATCGTGCTTGAAATTTTGGTTCGAGGCAGCACGAGCAAGAGACAGCTGGAGTCCTCCATCTTGGGTCACCACCGACGTTCCTTGAGGACCGCTGGTAAATGAGGCACGACGGAGAGCGAACAAAAGCCGGAACACGGACTGCCGAGGAGAAGGCGGAAGTTTCGCGATGTAGGGGGCAGAATAAATGTGCCCGAAAGCAACGGTGTGAGAGTGGGGAAATTTAGCACGGACGAGTTGTTTTACGCCAGCCCATGCAACNCGTGAAGAGGCCTGCCGGGGGGCTTGCAGATCGTGCTTGAAATTTTGGTTCGAGGCAGCACGAGCAAGAGACAGCTGGAGTCCTCCATCTTGGGTCACCACCGACGTTCCTTGAGGACCGCTGGTAAATGAGGCACGACGGAGAGCGAACAAAAGCCGGAACACGGACTGCCGAGGAGAAGGCGGAAGTTTCGCGATGTAGGGGGCAGAATAAATGTGCCCGAAAGCAACGGTGTGAGAGTGGGGAAATTTAGCACGGACGAGTTGTTTTACGCCAGCCCATGCAACAAGAGCTTCCAGTTTATCCTCATCGTGGAAAGTTACGTCTTCGGCTGGCATCTCCCGTGGGCGGGACAGGAACGCTGCATCGCCTACATGGAACTCGTACCCCGCGGCTTCGGCCGCGTGTCCATGGGAAAATGTCCAAGCCAGTAGAAAAAGTGTTCACACAAGGAGATTCGAACCAGTATCCTGCCGCTGACGCCATATGCGAAGGTGTAACGATTCAGGTAAAAGTCAATCGACGGATACCCTGCGAATCGGGTCCTCCTTAACATATGTATGTATGTATGCATGTATGTATGTATGCATGCATGCATGTATGTATGTATGTATGTACATATTTTACGTAGTATTAGCTGTTGCCGTGCACTTCGTAGTTAGTGTTATGGTATTTGGAGGTAGACTTGTGATCGTGTTTGACCATGGTTATTTGGCGCCGTCGGATGCTAAGACGTGACGTCATGCTAGATCAGGGCTTTATGCCGAG